CCATACGGACTGAGAACTGTGTAACCATAACAGCGTATGACACAATGCGAAGAACCGATCCGGACTGATAGCCACACAACCATAGCAACCGATGTCACAGTGACAAGAAAACTCATTGTCAAGGCAACCAACACCCATCGTTTCCACTCTACTGGTATGCATATATGGGATATCAGGTTTACGAGTGATTGACAACCCAGTAATCACCCTTGCTTTTGCGCCGTTGCATGGAGGAGCGGCGCGAGGCAAAGCCGCTAACACGGCGCGCTAACCGAACGACCGACATCTGGCCCTCGTTCAGGGATTTGGACTTCTTCGGACGCTCGGCGTACGGAGAGAATTCGGGCGACGGCAGCCTCGGGCTCTTCTGCGAAGTTCGCGAAGTGCTCCTGGTCGACATCGATGGTCGAAACACGGAGCTCAATCGTTTCTGCCTGACTGAGGGCCAGCGCGAAGAGCTGATGCTGATTTTGCGCGACTGCACGGGTTGTGTCAGCGCTAACTGCTGCAAGATCCAGTCGTCCTCATCGTCGTCCTCAGCACCGCCGATCTGCGGCGAGCTGACCGCTTTCTTCATGTTCCCGCGCGACTTGTTGTTGGACGGTCCGGTGTCCTGCTCGGGTGGCAGACCCACAGACTTCTCACCTCGGCTAATCGCTGGTGGGTTGGAGCGGCAGAAGCGTGCGCGCGGCTTCTTGAGAGTGTGGGACTGCGGCGAGAGCACCGACCACTGCGTGAGAGGGTCGAGGCTGCTGGACTGTAGCGATGCTGACAGGTCAGCATCCTCGATCGCCGAATCCCCCTCAACTGCAGACACGGAGTCCGTCACGCTCGGCGGCTGTAGCGTCGTGATGAACGCGGCGGAGTGTTCCATGCTGGCCGGTCCCGAGTGGGTGCGTTGATCATCGAGCGACGTTGTCGACGGCAACGGTGGCATGGACAGTGCCGGCACTGCCCTCTGCTGCTGCTGCGGGGATCGCGCCGACGCCGAGCGGTACAGATGCGGTGAGCCGAGTCTAGCCTGCAGGTCGGTGTCGCTGGACTGCGGCATCATGTAGGGCAGGTCTGAAAGCGCCTGTGGTGGCGTCGTCGTGCATGCACCTGCTGTGTCCGCAAGGTCAGCTGCTGGTTGCGGCACGTCGCTGCTGCTAGTCCTCCAGAAGTCTGGTGCAGACGGGGTGGGCACTGCCGTTACGGAGGTGTTCGACGTCACTTTCCCCGCGCACATGTACCACTGGCGCATTATCTGATGCCCGCCGCCGAGGGTGGACCGGCGCTGCCCGTCGACCGAATCCTCCTTGTCGCGTGACGTGATGAACGCGGTGGGCGTGGGCCCTCGGCGCAACGACGTCGAGGACCGGTTGAGGCTGATAAACTCGTGGTTGCTGGCCGCCTGCTCAAGGCTGCCCTGGCTAAAGATGACCGCCAGCCGTCGGTGTGCTCGATCTCCGCCTGCAAGCACACAGCACACAGCACAGCACAGCCCAGCACACAGCACACAGCACAGCCCAGCACACAGCACACACAGCACACAAAACCGTAAGACCACTCATAATAACGAATTCTTATTTTCTTAAACTCGAATGGTGAGCAAATATTATAAATAAAAAGAGAAAGGGCCATTAATACTGTTAGTTATGACTAACACTAAACAGTCTACCAAGGTAACGAGATCTTATACAGTCAGGTAGTGCGACAACAAGGCACAAAACTGACAAGGATCCTGAGGTTACGTTTGGTTGGTCACATTCCCAAATGGGAATCACTTGGAATCACTTGGAATCACTCGGAATCATTCTCGCCCGTTTGGTTGGTCAAAAAGTGCGTTAGTATTACAACTCAGACTGAGACAAGGATGTTACCGGAATGTATGATTCTATTGACATAAGCCAACAACGAGGAACTCCTTCAAGGACTCCGAAGACAGAACAACAACAAAAGGGCAAGGCAGCACAGGTTGGCCTGCGTGCATGCAGAGTCCTAGTGACGTCAACACATAAGACATGTACATGGATATCACATCCCTCCAACCCTAGATGAAACGAAGACTAAGTAAACAATAACAAATAACAAATCACCTGTAGAAACAGTAACACAAGACATGGCGAAATATAGCTGTAAACACAGAAATAAGACAGCAGATCTAACTGTGAGTAGCTATGATAGAACTGTTACAAGTCCAAACGGACGGGCGCCTGAACAGCTCTAGTTGAGCGACGCGGACGAATAGCAGGAGTCGACCCAGCTGACTGCGACTCTGGAAGCGTGACTGGTTCCGGTGCTGGAGGAACTGGTGAGGCAGATACGACTGTTGGCACAGAATCAACTGAAGGCTGTAGTTCGGATGCGTCTGAATCCAGCACAGATGATGTCGACACTGGATGATTCAGAGGTTGACCAGATGGAACAACAGCTGGATATGCGGTTGTTGCCTGTACTGGCGCGGCAACAGGTGGCTCCTCGGCCGGCAATCGTGGGCGGATGTGGTCACTGTGCCGTTTCCACAATCTGCCATCGGGTAGGCGCACCGTAAATGTGGCTGGGCCTAGACACTCTTCAAGAACTCCATCCATCCATTTAGGTGAGCCAGCAAAGTTGACACAGGACACAGGGTCACCACAGCAGAAGGGCGCCGAGTGAGCCGGGCGGCGGTCTACGGCTGCTTGCTGTCGACTGAAAACCTTCTTATAAGTGTCCGGAAATGTGAGGTCAAGACGGGACCGAGGCTTATGACCCATCATGAGTTGAAATGGAGATTGACCAGTAGTTGATTGTGGCGTAAGGCGATACTGAAACAGGAACCGATACAGACAGGATTCCAAATCAGAACCACCAACAGACTTCCTCAGCGCATTCTTGACGGTTTGTACGGCACGCTCAGCTAGACCGTTGCTGGCTGGGTGGTAGGGAGATGACCGGGTATGCTTGATACCATTAGCAGAACAGAATCGTTGAAATTCGTCGCTGGTAAATACTGAGCCATTGTCGGAAACAAGTTGAAGCGGCAGTCCGTGCGTTGCAAATGTCTGACGGAGCTTGGCAATAGTTGAAGCCGAGGTTGCAGACGATACCGGGTGGACTTCAATAAACTTACTGAAACTGTCAACGATAACCAGGAGCATCTTGCCCTCAACTGGACCCGCGTAATCGACATGCAGACGCACCCATGGTTTACCTGGCCATTCCCAGGGATATAGCGGCTGAAGGGCTGGTGACTTCTGAATGACTTGGTACGGTTGGCAGCTCTTGACCTTGAGCTCTATATCGTCGTCAATAGATGGCCACCAGATGTAGCTGCGGGCGAGGGCTTTCATCCGGGTTATGCCCGGGCGACCTTCATGTAATTCTTCCAGGAGCGTCTCACGGCGTCTTGGTGGAATAATAACACGTGAGCCCAGCAAAAGACAGCCACTTATCACTGAAAGCTCATTACGACAACGGGAATATGCTTGATAATCCACGGGGATGTTGTCCGGCCAACCTTCTTGGACGTACTTGAGGACAAGTGACAGCACCGGATCTTTGCTCGTCCATTGAGCAATGGTGGTGGATGTGACCGGAGTGTTCTCCAGGACAGACATCAACAGAACGACTTCGGCCGGTGTTGGGACTTCTGGTACCGATGAGGGTGATGGTAGCCGACTGAGTCCATCAGCATTACCATTGCTGCTGCCCGACTTGAACTGAAGCTGGTCATAGCTTGCTAGTAGTAGGGCCCAGCGTTGGATACGACCACTGGCCATCGGCGGAATCGGACGATCTTCCTGAAATAGACCAAGTAGAGGCTTGTGGTCAGTCTGCAGCACAAACGAGCGGCCAAATACTGTATAGCAGGAAATTTTCGGACGGAATTTATTTTCGTACGATTTCGTACACAGCCTCTTTTGTACTAAAATTAATTCCGTACTAAAATTCGCTGTTATGTACACTATACATGTACATGCGTGCCGCATGAAAACACGTGCATTTAGCATGAAGCACTGTACGAAAATAAAATCCGTACAAAAGGTCGAAAATCGGCTTTGTCCGAAAATATTTCCGTCCGAAAATTTCCTGCTATACAGTAAATACTTATGAAAGCGCTTGACGGCGAACACCATAGCCAGACCTTCTTTCTCGATCTGTGCATATTTCTGTTCCGCTGAGGATAATGTTCTCGATGCAAACACGACTGGATGCTCGTCTCCGTCCGTAGTGATGTGTGAGAGAACGGCACCAATACCATACGGTGACGCATCACAACTAACGACAATTGGCAGCTTCGGGTCGTAATGTACACGGCATGGTGCTTCTAGTAGCATGGCTTTGCTTTTCTCAAAAGCAGACTGTTCACAGTCAGACCACCGCCACTGCTTCTTAGAGAGCAATTCGTACAGGGTTTCAACACAGTACTTAAGTTCCGTACAAACTTGTGATAATAGTTGATCAAGCCCAAGTAGCTTCTGAGCTGCGATACATTAGTTGGTGCCTTGGTGTCCAGCACATCTTGCACTTTCTCAGCTGTCGGCGTTATTCCGGTTGAATCAATGATGTGGCCGAGGAAAGTGACAGATGAACGGCCAAACACACATTTGTCCCGGTTCAAGCGCAGACCAGCCGATTCAAGACGCTCCAATACCATTTTGACATGGAGGTCGTGTTCCTCTCGTGTTGTGCCAGATATGAGGATGTCGTCCAGGTACACTACGACCATTGGAATGTCAGCCAACAGCTGCTCCATTGTGCGCTGAAAGATATTTTGACATGGAGGTCGTGTTCCTCTCGTGTTGTGCCAGATATGAGGATGTTGTCCAGGTACACTACGACCATTGGAATCAGGGAGTAGTACAATACCAGGTATTGTACTACTCCCTGATTGGAATGTCGGCCAACAGCTGCTCCATTGTGCGCTGAAAGATACCAGGTGCAGAGGACACTCCAAAAGGCAAGCGATTATACACAAATAGGCCTTTGCTTGTGTTGATAGCCGTGAGAAGCTGCGACTGTTCGTCTAACGGTAGCTGCTGATAGGCCTGGCTGAGATCTAACTTCGTGAAGCAACATACCGGTAACATCCTTGTCTCAGTCTGAGTTGTAATAATTGGCGACGAAGATAAAAGTATTAGACGATGGCCATGGCCTCCTGCCAGATGGAGCCATTTGACGGCAAGAACTTCTCCGATTATTTGGATTGTCTCGAGTGTTATTTTGCCGCAAATAGAATCGGAGTGGCAGCTACCACCAATGCAGACGACGTCACTCCTGCAGGAAAGGTCAAAACGGCTGCCCTGATTGCGCTGGTGGGTAAAGCTACCTACTCGACGCTGAAGGACTTGTGCTTTCCTGACAAGCCAACGTCTAAAACGTTTGATGAGATAGCCGATCTCCTCAAGGCACACTTTCAACCGAAGCTGAGTTTAGTGGCGGAAAGCTATCGTTTCCATCTGTGCCGGCAAAGAACGGAATCTGTCACGGAATTTGCAAATCGCCTGAAGAGACTGGCGTCTACTTGCGGGTTTGACCCCCACTTGGATCGCACACTGAAGGACCAGTTCGTGCAAGGGCTACGAGGCCAATCCATCACGGAGAAACTGCTCACTATGGCGAACGACAAGAAATTTGCTGATTTCTTAGCCACGGCAACTTCGGAGGAACTCGCTGATGCGCGGGCTGCAGAGCTGACATCTGCCTCAAGGGCTACATACGTCCACAGTGTTCGGTCCACGCCATCATCGCTGAAGTCGCGTTCGTACAACGACAGACCTCCCAAAGCTGGCCGCAAGTGCACTGGCTGCGGCGGACAATGGCACGAGAGACGAGAGAGCTGCCCTGCCTGGGGAAAGTCGTCTAATTTCTGCCACAAGCAGGGCCATTTCCCATCTGTGTGCAGAGCCAAGGACAAGGTGCACTTTGTGCACAATCCAGCGCCGGACGCTGGGAAATCAGACTCGGCAATAAACAGTGAGGAGTATTGTCCGGAACTGCACCACACCGTGTGTATCAGCCATGTAAGCAGTACTGTCGACCCGTATGTTTGCACTGTTCGCATCGGCCGCACCCCAATGGTATTCGAGATCGACACCGGGGCTGCAGTTACTGTGATTAATGAACGGCATTACCATGATTTGGCTTCCAAGGAACAGTTGACGCTGGAAACTGACGACTTACCCAGTCTATGTACGTATGCCGGCAAGATCATCCCAACGGTAGGCCGCGTGAGAAGCGAAACCAGCCACGGAGGACGCAAGGCTGAGCTGGGCTATTATGTGGTCAAAGGCACTGGACCCAATCTGCTAGGTCGGGACGCATTGGAGAAACTGAGGCTGAACTGGAACCAAGTTTTCAACGTCACTGGTGACATGCCGAAGGATATCCTGGACAAGCATCCGGAACTATTCAAGTCTGGCCTGGGCACTTGGCGAAATGGCAGTGTCAAGCTGGCAGTGGACCGTAACGTGAGGCCACGATTTCTGAAGGCACGGTCGGTTCCCTATTCACTCAAGTCGGCAGTGGAGAAGGAGCTGGACCGGCTGGTGAAAGAGAACATCATCCATCCCGTGCAATGTACCGATTGGGCTGCACCGATTGGGCTGCACCGATTGTGCCAGTGCTAAAGAACAATGGCCAGGTACGCATCTGTGGCGACTACAAGTGTACCATTAATCAAGCGTCCAAGACAGACAAGTATCCGTTACCCAACATAGAAGACTTATATGTGAAACTGAGACAAGGATGTTACCAGTATGTATGATGTATGATTCGATTGACATAAGCCAACAACGAGGAAGTCCTTCAAGGACTCCGAAGACAGAACAACAACAAAAGGGCAAGGCAGCACAGGTTGGCCTGCGTGCATGCAGAGTCCTAGTGACGTCTTAGTGACGTCAACACATAAGACATGTACATGGATATCACAGTTAGGTTGGTCCCATTCCAGAATGGGAATCGCTGAGAATGATTCTTTTTGGAGAATGATCATTCCACCTCACATGCTGCAATGAACATTCTCATTCCGGAAATCAAAAATGATAATGGTTGCCACGAGCCAAACAATGTAGCAACAGGTTCAAGTGCCTCGAATCATGCACTCAGAAGTACTTGACTCTCTCAAGGAAACTAGAGTCGGGTAAAAGAGAAGAGAGCCGCCTTTCCACAACGACATCATGGAATTGTTATGTCAAGTGATTCCTAGTTGATTCTGGCGCGTTTGTTTGGTCAGGTGATTCTTACCCATTCCCATTCCAGAATGGTTGTCATTTATATTCTGAAAATGCCCAACCAAACGCAACCTCAGACATTCGACGACCTGACACATTTTTCAGAACATTTATTTCTGCTCTTGTAGTAGTTGAGCACTCTCATGTGGGGTAATGCCTTTGCTGTTTGCGTTATGCAGAGCTCACTGACTTGTCAATTTGAGAACTCTGGCAAGATACGCTCGGGCCTGGTGTAAATCTGGCTTTGGACAATTTATTTTTCATTGCCATCAGGTTCGGCCTCATTTTCTCTGTGCTGTGCTGATGAGTCCACAAAAGACGAAACAGTTCTGTCCGCAGATTGAACATTTATTTCTAACGGATTTGTTAAAAATTTGAAGTCGTTATGTGCAAAATGATGTGTACATGTCCTGTCATTTCCTAGTTTTGACATGCCAAATTCGTTAGCATTTCACTTCGCTAACCAACCACAAAATCCGGAGATTGCTAACTTCAATAGTCCTTATGCACATTACATCATCTCGTGCAGATAAACGTATTCCCGTAGGTGTGTACAACTGTACATGCAAGGTTGGGTGTTCATTGTGTGCTATACATGCGCATTTGACCAATTTAGACCAGTACTTAGTGGGCGACCGCCAACGTTAGGCGCTGCATCTGCCACTAGGGCTTACCAGGTGTTAGTGGCCGCCGTGAGTTCCCTTCGGGAACGGACACAATAATTTACTTTTTGTTAGTGGCTGACAGTCGCTTTTCGAGCTACATCAGTTTGGACAGAGGTAATGACTAGATTAGTCAGCTAGATCTTTCTCCGAAAAAAGTTGTTGCATGAAATGCCCGAAGGGAACATTTCGTAATCGAAAATACATACACGCAGATTGAGTATTTTCGCTCCTGCTCTTGTAGTAGTTGAGCACTCTTATGTGGGGTAGTGCCTTTGCTGTTTGCATTACGCAGAGCTCACTGACTTGTCAAGTTTGAGCACTCTGGCAAGGTACGTTCGGGCCTGATTTAAATCTGGCTTTGGAAATTTTATTTTCATTGCTATCAGGTTCGGCCTCATTTTCTCTGTGCTGCGCTGAGGAGTTCACAAAGAACGAAACAGCATGCTGTCCGCAGATTGTGGATAACACAATAGGGTCGAAATTTTATTTTCATTGCTATCAGGTTCGGCCTCATTTTCTCTGTGCTGCGCTGAGGAGTTCACAAAGAACGAAACAGCATGCTGTTCGCAGATTGTGGATAACACAATAGGGTCGAAATTTTATTTTCATTGCTATCAGGTTCGGCCTCATTTTCTCTGTGCTGCGCTGAGGAGTTCACAAAGAACGAAACAGCATGCTGTCCGCAGATTGTGGATAACACAATAGGGTCCTGTACATTGAACACCCAACCAGGTCTACGGCATTCTACGGGATTTCGTACGTGACGTCAATGTGCATATTAAAGGGTCATTGGCGTTAAAATATCTGCTCGTACACTACTTGCTCACATGATCTGTTACCAAATGTACATGCACTGCGTCTTCCCCCCAGCTGCTGATAACTCACACCTGCATTCTCAGCGTACATGTCACGGCGTACTCATACACGTCATAATGAGCAGAACAACATCCTATAGAGGTTATGTGAATCACTCATCAAAGTACACTTGCCACTTAGAAGTCAAAAAGATATCACTTTGCCGCTCAGAAGTCGATAAAATATCACTTTTGCCACTCAGAAGTCAATAAAATATAACTTGCTTTTAGAGTATCTCAGTACACATTTCTCCCAGTTTGCCAGTTGGCACTCAACTCTCTTCCTTTATGGCAGTGAATGATGTAATCACATCACCTGTCTTCCTTTACGGCAGTGTATGATGTAATCGCCTAACCTGTCTTCCTTTACGGCAGTGTATGATGTAATCGCCTAACCTGTCTTCCTTTATGGTAGTGTATGATGTAATCGCCTAACCTGTCTTCCTTTACGGCAGTGTATGATGTAATCGCCTAACCTGTCTTCCTTTATGGTAGTGTATGATGTAATCGCCTAACCTGTCTTCCTTCATGGTAGTGTATGATGTAATCGCCTAACCCTGATTTTCACATGCAGCATCTTCTAATCAGTTTTGCTTACTTGCAAGTTGCAAGTACAGTGCGTATCGGTTATAGTGTGGTCGAATACAAGAATATACTGCCTACAAGAATGAACACTCATTTTTTCATAATCATAACGCATATTTTATGTGTATATTTATTCTTACAAGCAGTATTATCGCATACTAGAATATATCGGCCCTAAGAATGGATTTTGTGTAGCAAAATATGCCAGATTAGTGCAAAGGGTATCGCCTGTAGTAATAACATCTGTGCTCTGTGCATACTCAATACAATAATATGATTAATATTCAACACAAAAAGAGAGTTATGTCAAACTGAGCAAAGGAGAATCACTTTTTCTGTCCAGTCGGACTCTTTCTTCCGACTTCTCTCGTATCTGCTGCTCCGCAGTCGCCTAGCACGACCGCGAGTCTGATCCGTGTGTATCATGTGTAGACCTACATGCTTGTACGTGTCCACATGCCAAACGTGCGCGCATAATTATAATTATGATACCTGTATGTCACACGTGCATATGATATGTCACACGTGATTTATCGTGTGTAAGAAATATCGGCAATAAGAATCAAATGTCGTTTTTCAAACACCCACGCTATAACCGATACCTACTGTAGGTGCATTTGCATACACTGTTTTGTATCACTGTGTCACATTTCAATCCAATCTAGCATTTTCCAATCGGTTTGAAGTACACTCTGCATCATAAACTTAGTTACGAAGGAGACAGTCTGTTGATGATCTTCAACTCTTTGAAGTACAATGTACATTGCTGACCCATTCGTGGGTATTCGACGTTCTTTATGCTTAGATTCAGTATAATAGAATACTCTGTAGACGAATTCCAGGTCATTCTTCATTTTCATTGTGTGCTGTTCCTCGCCAGTAATGTCGTTCTGTGTGGAGTGTACACGTGCATGTGGTGTCTATTGTGTCTGTTGTGCATGGTCCGTGCGCTGGAGTACTGCCACCGTACATGTTCACTGCCTGAAAGGCAGTGAACATGTACGGTGGCAGTGCCCTAGCGTACGTACCGTGCACCGGGATTTATATTCGATATAAATCCCGCGCGGGATTTATACTGGCCAATGTAACCATGGCTAGACGAGCGCTGATTGGCTGAAAACAGGCCCTCCGTACCGTACCATGGCATAAACATACTTATAGAGAAGGCAAACAAAGCATTGCTGTCCGCTGATCACTAACGTGTGCAACCCAGAGTAAGAGTAGCAATGCTTAAAGCCTTTGTTTGCCTTCTCTACACGTGCACATACATAACTATATTCAAACAAGCCCGCTGGTATAGGCAGCTGAGGTAGAGTGCTCAATGCACAAATGTACAAAGCAGCAGTATACACACAGCACACCTGTAAATGCTGCTGTCTGATGATCGCTGAAATGCGTGAAACTTAATGTTGCAGCTACACAGCCTTTCGCCTCCGTTGTGTGTGTAACTATATTTAATATATGAGTCTCTAGATAAAAGAAATGTCATTTTCGAGCATTTCGAGTTGCCTGCACTATGGCATTGTCGTAATCCAGAAAATCAGCGTGCAAAATCATTATCCACACGTCCTTTGCGTCTCTGTGTTTTTCACTGTTTTTATTTGACATTATCTTTCTTTACGGAGTTGGTGTTGCTGTTCATTTTGCTACTCTTTCTTTTTCCCTCCTCTTATTTTTATTTATCGCCGTGGTTGGCAATCACCCACTCTCATTGGCCGGTGTTTCCACCGAGTCTTGAGATGTTGTAATAAATATAAACATAAAAGACCTCGGTCATCTTTCACACAGTCACGAGTGTTTGAATAAGACTTAGCGTACTTTCATCTCTTTATATGGAAAACCAAACTTCTAAAACAGAGAGGTTCCCAGCGGCGGATCCAGCGATCTTTACAGGGGGGTTCCAGACTGAATGGCTGATACATGTACATGGATACGCGTATGGTTGCCAGTAGTACAATTACGAAATTTAGGGGATTCCGCGGAACCCCTGGAACCCCTCCTGGATCCACCTCTGGGCTCCAGGTCCTCTTATTGTTTGAAAACTAAACTTCCAAAAGCATTTTTCTCAACAATACGCAAACGTACATAAGCCCCCTTTTTCGGATCTGGAGGCTCATATGTAACTTTGTCTGCAGCATGTGCGATGGGCTTGTCATTTCCCCGCTGTTCCGTCACAACCGCTTTAAAGAGCTGCATCTGCGCCGCAATCCCCACAGCTGGTGGCGTTCCTACGGATGCGTGAACGTCAGTCTTTCACAATCTCACACGAAGCGTGAAGAGTAACAGTTTGTGTTGTAACTCATGCAGCTTCACCCTTATGGCATGCACTCACATGGAAAGTGTAGATTTGAAACTATGAACTGTCAAAGGGGATGGTCGCGTTTGATCTACAGGTTTTGGTAGAATCTACTCCTTTTGGTAGATGTGCCCCTTACTTCTGACGCAAGCGTAACTCATTCAACGTTCTGAGTATATTGGGAGAAGTCTTGACAATTTACCAAATCGTCAAGTACAATCACATTGACCAGAACAAGCCACAAGTGTAGCTGCATGGCTAGCAAGGCATAGCATCTTACTTTCGTCACTGATCGAATGCGGTTTGAGCCTTCGTTGGAGGCTGGGCGACGCTGTCAGTATGGAGTTTCGCATCACCCTCCGCGAAGCAAAGGGGGAACGCTGCATACAAACAGACAGACGGACCGATGGACACACAGACAGGCAGGCACACAGACAGACAGACAGACAGTTACACTTCTAACTGCATCACTGGTCTAACGTAGACCAGTAATGCAGACCACCAAACAGGCAGAGAACACAGACACACACACACACACACACACACACACACACACACACACACACACACACACGCATGCTCGCATGCACACCCACACATGGACACACACACATACACACACACAAACACACACACACACACACACCTACATAGATGCACAAGCATGCGTGTGCACACCCACCCATCCACACCTACATGCATGGTGTTTCCGTGTGAGAGGCTGGAAGAAAACATACGTGTAACTGTAAGTCTGACCTTTCACCAAATCAGCAATGACGAACAGTAATGTAAATTACTGTAAAAGCAGAAATTATCGGTGGTGTAATATTTTCGGTATTCTCCAAAATCGGCGGTTCGGTAGAGGGAAATTTTCAGTAAACCCCGTTTTCCAGGTAAGTGTACTAGTACTACATGTATACAGTGTCGGTTGTACCGAAATTTTTGGCGCGTTTTATTATCAGTAAAAATTGTCGGCACCGAAGTTACCGAAAATAAAACACCACCGAAAATTTCTGCTTTTACAGTACTCACCGATCCACGTCTTTTCAAATCCACTTCGGAGATGTCCTTCTTGCGAGAGAACCAGTTGAAGGGTCGTTTGAGGCCATCGTAGAGTATGAACGGCAGGATGGAAGTTGTGATCAGTATGTTGCACTGTGGGGAGATCAAACAGAAAAGGGAGAGTTGAATATTTTTGGTTTTTGCGACACCCCTTTGCGGTGCATGTATTATGCACCAGGGGCGTCACTGGACCCCTTCACAGGGGGGTGCACAGGAATTTTGCACAGGAAAACACGAAAAAGTTCGCTGATAGCTGGCCCGTTGCACCGACTTTGGAGGTGGGGCAGCCATGGGGTACGGGGGCCCTCCCCGGGAAGTATTTCAAAAATTGAAGCCAATTGCAAGCATTTCCGGGCATTTGGTGCCATTTCAGGGTAACTACAATGAAAGACTTTTTGATTCTGCAACAAGCCAAGAAGACGCTACGACGGGGACAAGAATTCTTCATTATCCTCCCCCGGGAAAAAATTTCAAAAATTGAAGGCAATTGCAAGCATTTTCAGGCATTTGGTGCCATTTCAGTGTAACTATTTATTTATTTATTTTATTCCAAGCAATACATGGCTGGGGTAGCCAATGACCACTTTGCGTCGCGATTGCAGGGTTTTTATAGCCAACTAGTCTACGAGTCATACTGGTCATGTACTTGCACTCGCTACATGCACTCACGCGATCGCGGCAGCACAGTACAACTAGTTTTAGTGCATGCAGTTTATTAGCAGATTCTACCAGGAGTTCGCAAAAAACCAAGGTCGAATTTTTTAGGGGGGTGCACGTGCCCCCCGTGCCCATCACGGGTGATGCCCCTGTGCACCCAGAGGAGAAACTGTACTCCGTTTGTGTATGTCGCGCGTCGCACGTCGCTAAAGTCGAACTTTCTTCAACTTCTGCAACAGGTACCGTGCGACTGTACGCGACGGCTGGCGACAGGCAGTTTCTTGCGGCAGCTTTCGCAAATCGCATGCGCATCGCAAAACGTGGTATTATGGATCGGCCTAAAGTGTTGAGGTCCATTCTGGGTCACAAGCCACTGCAAGCTGCCAGTAGAGGCTACCCAGGTGACAACACAGGTCACGACTGCATTGCCATATGCAGTGCATACAACCATACATGGGCAATGCGCAACCTCTTTCCGTTCCATATATGGAAAATCTGTACTGGGTGTGTTAACCTGGATATCCCATATATACGTATGTAAGGAGAATCGTCAGATATCAGTGTGTATTGCGGAGGAGATGGTACAATAAAGGCACGGTCATACATGCGCAGGGGTACCGCTTCGGTGGCGCGGTTTGCACCTCTCCTGAGGAGCCAGTTTCATATGCAGGTCACATATACGAGAGCGAGAGCGAGAGAGAGAGAGAGAGAGAGAGAGAGAGAGAGAGAGAGAGAGAGAGAGAGAGAGAGAGAGAGAGAGAGAGAGAGAGAGAGAGAGAGAGAGAGAGAGAGAGAGAGAGAGAGAGAGAGAGAGAGAGAGAGAGAGAGAGAGAGAGAGAGAGAGAGAGAGAGAGAGAGAGAGAGAGAGAGAGAGAGAGAGAGAGAGAGAGAGAGAGAGAGAGAGAGAGAGAGAGAGAGAGAGAGAGAGAGAGAGAGAGAGAGAGAGAGAGAGAGAGAGAGAGAGAGAGAGAGAGAGAGAGAGAGAGAGAGAGAGAGAGAGAGAGAGAGAGAGAGAGAGAGAGAGAGAGAGAGAGTGAGAGAGAGAAAGAGAGAGAAAGAGAGAGAGAGAGAGAGAGAGAGAGAGAGAGAGAGAGAGAGAGCAGGAGAGAGAGAGAGAGAGGGGGGTTAACTTATTACGTTAATCCGTGAGAAAAGTACTTACGCAGTTGAATGCCACAATGTAGTAGTAAGTGGTCTGCATGTCCGCGTCCACAAAGTTCGGAATGGACGGGCACAGCTGCGGCTTGCAGTTGAATATGTGGCACATGATGCTTTGGTCCATTGCGCGCTGCTTGGTTAGCAGGGCCGTGATGGAGAAGCCCGTGGGCAGCACAACGTAGTCGAGCAGGAAGGACAGGACGAAGAGAATGGTGAAGAGGATGGAGAAGGCTATGCGACTCTGCCAGCCCTTCATGACGGCGTTCAGGTCCACGGCGGGTGAGTTCCGTAGCACACGCTGTACAGTGCCCCAGCTGGCACCCACCACAAACAGGCCGAACTTGATCTTGCGATGCGCCGCACTGCGCACCACGCGGAACATCGAGATTGTCAGCAGGATGACGGAGATGAAGTGGAACGCGAGCGTGACCTGCCGACCCAGCGCGTAGCGTTTCTCCATGGCCGACACGCACTTCAGGCCGAACGGCTGCGCGTAGACAATGTGCCCGTTCATCATCACCACGTACGTGATACACAGAGCGGGGATGCTGGCCAGCAGGACGCCTTCGGCGATGTGCAGGCGATAGTACCAGTTGCTGCTGCGCGAGCCCGTCGACTTAATGGCCGTCACATGCTTCATATAGATGAGCCAGACCAGCGCCTTCCAGGACATCATTAGCGGCACCAGGATGTTCATCAGGTCGGTGCCGACGACAGAGAGAGCACACTGCCACGGCGCCTTGTACAGCGGCATGCCCACGATCATGGTGCGGTCGTTCAGGCACAGGCTGTCGCCGCGCGACAGGTTAATGCTGCGGAAGGTGTTGAGCAGGAACACGGAGAACATTGCGTACATGGCGGCGCGCCACGGCGTCGTCGAGATCACGCGCTGGAAGTTGGTGGCGAAAACGGCGCCCGCGTAGAGGAAGCAGAGGGAGACCGATGCGAAGATGATCATGTGTACAATGTAGGCGGCGCGCGCGCCCGCCGACTCGGTCACGATCAGCGTGTCAGTACAGGAGTAGCCGCAGGGTAGCTTGCTTGAAGCCTACAATTAGCAGAACAGGGCGCAGAAGGAAGCCAGTACAGTCATGTACATGACACACAACATAGCACGGGCAAAAGGCTACAGGATTTTCCCTGCCAGAGATAGGAACGGTATTCTTCTGGGTACAGATTGACAAATCTGGGTCCCTGGGCTCCCATACCAAGGGGATTCCCCCAAATATAGGTCTATCCCAAGGGGAATTCCCTAAAACCAGGTCCCATACCAAGGGGATTTCCCTGAAACTAGGTCCCATACCAAGGGGATTCCCCCAAGTCTAGGTCCCATGCCAAGTAACATACATGGGCAACATACTAATGCCGTCCTGTAATGATTTGTACCCCTTTTCCAGTGGTAAACGCACAACATGGGCATCTATTGCAGACTACTGCAAACTCCCTCCAAGTACACAACTTGTCACAAGTGGGCATAGACCTGCCAGAAGACTGTCTGCAGTGAGTGCAGAAGTGAGGTACATGTATGCCTGTAGACTGTCTGCAGTGAGTGCAGAAGTGAGGTACATGTATGCCTGTAGACTGTCTGCAGTGAGTGCAGAAGTGAGGTACATGTATGCCTGTAGACTGTCTGCAGTGAGTGCAGAAGTGAGGTACATGTATGCCTGTAGACTGTCTGCAGTGAGTCCAGAAGTGAGGTACATGTATGCCTGTAGACTGTCTGCAGTGAGTGCAGAAGTGAGGTACATGTATGCCTGAAGACTGTCTGCAGTGAGTGCAGAAGTGAGGTACATGTATGCCTGTAGACTGTCTGCAGTGAGTGCAGAAGTGAGGTACATGTATGCCTGTAGACTGTCTGCAGTGAGTGCAGAAGTGAGGTACATGTATGCCTGTAGACTGTCTGCAGTGAGTGCAGAAGTGAGGTACATGTATGCCTGTAGACTGTCTGCAGTGAGTGCAGAAGTGAGGTACATGTATGCCTGTAGACTGGCTGCAGTGAGTGCAGAAGTGAGGTACATGTATGCCTGTAGACTGGCTGCGCTACACTACTACTACACCATCACAAGTTGGACACACAGGTGGAATGCTCATTCGTTATCAGGGCTTGACGATTCGTCAGTGCCCTACGGAAAGCATTGTCTGTATGAGTGGGATGTCTTTTCATTTGCGAGCTGATCCGAGTGAGATTCGTACAGTCCGTATCGCCTATAAGGTTGGCGGCTATAGTAATATACCGGATATAGTGATCAATTTCTCAAATTCATTTTCATTTGCCAAAACTAAGTATACACAGTTATCGCGTATAGTAATAATCGTCTATAGTAATATATCGCCTATAGTGATCAAATTCATATTTCAAAAGACCTTTATTACACTATTTTTGCATCGGTTATAGTGATTGATGTAAAATTAAGCGATGTCAGAGGAGAACAGGGTGTTACTTCTTTGTGAAGAACTTGTCCAGTGAGTGTTGTTTGGTGAGTTTTGCTTGTACAAGTTGCCAAAATATGCCTCCATCATGAGGAAATCCTGATTTTGTGTGTCAGGAGCTACAGCCAGCTACATGACATTGTACATGTATGTAGTGCGTATGTGCACGGCGCGCTGAGTCGTTTGACACCCCACTCGCATACATTGCATGCAGTATCGGTCATAGTAATTATATCGCTTATAGTGATAAAATGCTCAAAATCAAACACCAACGCTATAGGCGATACTGACTGTACCACGCTCATTCGGTGACAAAGACTGCAAGCGGTCTCTAGACTTCTAGTGACTCCAGTCGTCCCCCAGCGGATAGAGCATGGCAATGCTTGGAGCCCAATACTGCCATAGTGATATGCTACTGTGCTATACATGTACTGCTACTGTGCTATACATGTACTGCTACTGTGCTATACATGTACTGCTACGCTGCTATAACCTACATGCCATACTCATTATGCAACACAGCCTATTGCATCAGCTCTTTGTTCAAACCCCAAACTGACAGAAAGACACGCACACAAACAGATGGAAGGAGGGACGAACGGACGGACAGACAAACGGACAGACGGACGGACAGACAGGTAGAGGCAGACAGGCAGATACACAGGCACAGACAGACAGGGACAGACACACAGACACACAGACAGGGACAGACAGGGACAGGGACAGACAGACAGGGACAGACAGACAGGGACAGACAGACAGGGACAGACAGACAGGAACAGACAGATGGGGACAGACAGGCAGGGACAGACAGACAGACACACACACAGACAGGGACAGACAGACAGGGACAGACAGACAGGTAGAGGCAGACAGGCAGATACACAGGCACAGACAGACAGACAGACAGACAGGTAGAGGCAGACATACAGGCACAGACATACAGGGACAGACAGACAGACAAACAGACAGACAAACAGGGGCAGACATACACATGAACAAACAGAAGTATAGACGGAAAACAAATAGCTACAGACAGAAAAGGCAAAGTTCCATGCACAAGTGCACACGCGTGCCCACACACACACACATGCACAAACATGAACACACATGAACACACATGAGCACACACACACACACACACACACACACACAGCAAACACACACACACACGCACAGAGCCGGAACACTCACCAGATCGACGCTGAGAACGGGCACGCTGGCACTGGTCATGTTGGCCAGGAGAGCACTGATAACGTTGGTGGCGTAGTGCGACTTGACGCTCGTCACGATGTACGGGTGTTTACACTTGAGATTGAGGCATGCTGGACTATGGGCAGATCGCACTAGCACCGCGCTGCTGGACTGCGGGAGTGTGTTGTCGGGCGAGCCCAGGTGAATACCGCTGACCATCTGCTGTGCTACGCCCGACAACAGCGACGACGCACTGCAGCGCAGCGCCGTCGAAGTGGCATGCGTCACCGAGTCCTTCATCAGCTTGACGGAAGACATGGCGCGCACGGCCGGCGGCGAGAACGTGGCGATGTACTCCAGAACGGAGCCCATGTACTTGAGATCATAGTCCGTGGCCGCCTGTGAGCATAGCGTGGCCTGATCAACGCGTTCCGGGGGTGTTTGAGCGCACGTCACCGAACCCTGTGCCCATTGGTTAAGCGACGTGCATACAGTCGCAGTCAATACGTCCACGCCGCCCCCATGGGTACCCGCCTTAGCGAAGGCATCCGCGGCTACGATTGACGGTCCGAGTTTGGCAAAGACGGTGTCCATGCCGCGCACGAGACTGCTAGCCTGTGATACCATGCTCCAGAAGTCGGCGGTATCGCTCAGAACGATGGCCGTGGCGTGGAAGCGCGAAACGCCCGTAGCCAGTGCCCCTAGCGCCGTTGCCGGGCCAAGAGAACTGATCACGGTCGCATTCAAGCATGCAAAGCAGTGCGTGCGGTCGCTGCTGGCGTTGTTGCCGCTTGCCAGAAGTCTACTCGCCGTCTTCATCAGCCGCATGGCGCTGTGCAAGCGCTCAGCCGCAGTCAAATTCATCTCTTCCATCTTGGTCTGCTGTAGCAGAAAATTACTGGCGCGCTCCTGCCATTCTACGGCGGCCTTAAGTGAGGACGCGATCACTGCTATACACTGCGCAGAGAGGTGACTGGCATTCAGGCGCCGCTCCGTGTCCACTCTGTTCATTGTAGTCCATGATCGAATATCCGTGATGGCTGTAGTCAATATGCGTGTCGCTATTTCTAAGTTAGAACTAGCGTTGTAGGCGAGCAGCGCTTTACAGCTGACGGTCGTGGCACCTGCGTGTTGATGCTGAAGTGCGCGCAGTGCACGGAACGCAACACTGTGCGGGTCTGGGATACTGCTGCTGCTGCCATGTCCGGCATCGGTAGAGCTACTATCAGCGCTGCTGCTGCTGCGGCATCTGCTCGACAATGTCCAGCAACTACCCCACTCTTGTTGTTGTTGCTGTGGATCTGCCCCACTTCCACCAGATGCACGTGCTGGCAAGGCTGTATGAGAAACTGCCCAGAGCAGCAGAAGCAAGCCGTGTACCACGAAGCGCGTGAGCGGCAAGCAGAGACTCATACCATCGCCGCAAAACACGTGAGTGTGCTGGCTGCGGTACGGTGGCAGGGCTAGGGGGCCTGCTTGGTGCCGCTGCTACTACAACTGTAGCACTCGTGGGCCGGAGGGTATGCCCTACTCCCACGCTGTCCGTTTCCGCAGAACGTATTCCACTCCGACTGCCGCACATGCATGTCCACAGGGCGAGCTAGCAGAGCACGCCACGGGCTTGCGGATGTTGTCCTCTCACAATATCAAGTTATTTTTAGAACGGCATCTCAACAAACTGATTGCATTGCCGTACACCTCTCTGACGGCTAGGAATGCAAAGGCTCAGTGTGACTATGGACGAGATTCGGCCCTAATATACACATACGTCCGACAGCAGCAAAACAACCGAAAACCGCACTGTCCGTCGAAAGCTCGCCGTCACAAGCTTGGAGAAGGGCATAAGTAGTGAAAACAATATTACAAACCACCGATGTAGATCTACAGTTTCTAGAAAAACTTGGAGACGAAGCAGAAACACAAAAAAATCGTGTGCAGCTCGCCGATCGGCCGAGTGCACGAGTGGCTCGCATGTACGTGCGTACAAAACCTGTACGATTTCGTACTGTTGTACGAGTTCTTGTATGGATTGATGAATTGCCCTGGCAACACGCGCACGCGCAGAATGTGTCAGGCTCGTACAGGCATTTTTGTAGAGCTACCTGCATGGTTCTTCTTCTTCTTCTTCTTCTTCTTCTTCTTCTTCTTCTTCTTCTTCTTCTTCTTCGGTATCAAAACAAAGATGCTAGAAATAGAGACAATTGAAAGGACGATAAATATCTGATTGTTGCTCAACCGAAACAGTAGCAAGGTGCCGGAAGTAAAATAAATACTATATGTAGAGGCCTGTATGGGAGCTAAGCTTCAAATAGTTTGTGTCCAATCCATTCGCTGATTACTAGTATAAAGTCTTGGCAAGGCCGGACTTAGAGCAGTCCTTCCAATTGCAGGAACTGAACGACCTGTGATGGCTCGGTGAGGATGGCTTCTCGTACATCTGCGAACACAGCTAAATTCGAGAGATCTCTGCTACTCTTCCGGGACGGACATTTGAGCAGTAGGTGATCGGCGTTCTCAGCAGTCCCTACACACGATTCGCCGCTGAGTCCGGTGAGGGTCGTGCCGAGATTCGATGGAGGTACTTATTAAGGAGACTGCTGTGTCCAGTGAGGAGCTGGTATTGCGGATGAATGACTTGGCTGCTTGAACAGGCAGGTCGATGTTACCCTGGTCACCATCGCACCCCAGCCGCAAGTTGGCAAGATGATCTGCCCTGTCGTTGCCCCTTGATGCCACAATGACTGCTGACCCACACCACGTGAGTAGATCTGGCCTGTTCCGCAACATCGGACCTGCATGGTCAGGCCGGGAAAGCAAGAGTTCATGGAACTCTTGATCTTGCCCCCGCGAACTGGGATCCCGGGTCGGGGTTGGCCGGATTGGGAGTTTTGGAAAGAGTTATCAGTTACCAAGACTAGCAAGAGTAGCGGATAAACTTATCTACTCTTGGTATTACCAAGAGTAGATAAACGTATCTACTGATACTGCTGAACGGTGCTAAAACGACACGTGCGTGCGTGCGTGGATCCAAGGAGCTAATCTGAAATCTGGCAGATCCGAGTGCTGAAGGCAAGACGCGGGTAGTGCCTATTTTCAGCTTTGGTAGTTTGTATTCTTGCAGCAGGATTGGTGTACAGTCACGTGACCTGAGTGTATAGTAAGTAGCAGGATTGGTGATACAGTGTGTAGTAAGTTCCCCTTGTGCTATGCTACCATTATCATCATGCCTGGTATTCAGGGGGGAGTCATACGTAAACCTGGCTTGGGTATGACTCCCAGCTGGTAACTTACCCAGCAAGGCAAGGAGGGGGCGGTATTTGGGCAGACGAAAGGGAAACAAACCCGGACGTCAAAGAATGTCTTCTCGAAACAGCCGGCTCACACTGTCACACACCGCTAGCAGCAACACATATAGACGGGCTCCATCCTCAGTGATAGCCGTGCAATGCCTCAACCGTTCACCAGAAAGTGGCTGGAGAGATCCCCCCTAACGTCACGTGTGTGGGAAACATTGCATTGTATTGTATTTATATTATTATCTCATGGCACATCATGATGACGGCCAGTAAAACTGAGACAAGGGTGAAAGCCAACCACAGCAGTAAAACAGATAAAAGAATACAAATAAAAGGCAAAGGAGGAGACAAACCAGCAGGATGTCATGCAAATACATAAAACCTATATTTGAGCAGAGATTTTAGCAACAAAATTATCGATCGACGTGCTGGTCTTGGCCTGCGTTGGTGATGTTGCCCAAAACACGTAGCCAGCAAAGATCGGGGATCTAGTGAATAGGGTGCAGGCAACGCGTGGGAGACTGAATGAGTTCCGGGTATTCCGTGTTTCGGAGAACCAATTATAAGCCTGCATATGCAAGGGTATTTTATTTAGTAATATTATGTATGAGAACACAGAGGTGGTACTTATGTCGAGTGGAAAGGGGACTGATCTTGGCAATTTCGTAAAGGCTAGACCAAGCAGTATCACAGTAGTCAAGTAAGGGCAATATAGCAACGATAAAACAAGCGTTTGCAAGAAAGAGGAAGATGTCTACAGTGGGCTTGAAGAGCCCCAAGGATGGAGTTTGTGCGCTTGCAGACATACTGCACATGGGGTGACCACGACAATTTAAAGTCAATAACAACGCCAAGATGCTTATGATCTTCAACAATACGAATAGCAACACTTGAAGAAGGAAAACAAAGTGGCAGGGAAGGGGGAGAAGGGGAAATGTACATAGCTGCCGTTTTATCAACGTTTGGCTGCAACTTCCAATCATGCATCCAGGTTATAACCTTGCCAATGCTATCTTGCATGGTTTCATGCAGTCGTATAGGGCAAGCATTGGAGCAAAGCAGAGCTGTGTCGTCCACTAGGGGCAATATCGGGGAGGTCATTAATATACAGGAGAAATAGCAGTGGCCCAAGGATTGAACCCTGGGGGACTCCAAAAGTAACGGGTAAAGGCTCCGACAACACAGTTGAGAGGCGTACAAGCTGATGTCGGGTAGAGAGATACGATGAGAGCCAGCCGATAGCCTTATGATAGACTGGGATGGAGAGCCAGTCGGTAATTTATAATTATAGGAAGGAAAAGGATCTACAATATTTTGCTCTTGTGCCCACTGTAAATATCACCAGTTACTTGACAATCCGATGGCGCTCATGCGATAACGTTGCTCGCTCTGTAAAGAGCACTGAGGGTTCCCTGTAACAAGACGGCAACGTCTGTAGGGCCTTCCCTAACAAAATAATATATTCTACTACTACTACTGCTACTGCACGACACTAACCAATGCCAATGGTACTGGTGTTCTGCGACTATCTGCAGGTCAGCTTTAGGCTTTGGCACATCTTGCTGACTATTATTAGTATTGTAAAACAGAGAGGTTCCAGGCTGTCCAATAGAGTGCTCAATACCGAAAGGGAGAGCTAGTTCAAACAATAATTAGAGGATGAAAAGGTGTTTTAACTCCGAAGTTTCACGCACTGTTTTCTGATGCTCGCTTACGTGAAACTCGGACTATAGATGAACGCACGTGTACCACTGCTTGCTCCGTTGTCGTTGGCATCGGTGGCGGAGGAGACTGAATGAGGCGGACCATACCGTGATACGGGAGTATGTGTCGCTGCCTTGGCTACTGCATGTCGTCAGCAACTCTCGGGGGCTGATTCGTCAGTACCGCCGCGGTTGTGGTCACAGTGGGGTGTTGCCACATGTACTACATGAATGCAGTTCCAGTCTCATTGCCTCTCCCTGATCCTCCGCCATCGGGGCCTGCGCCGGCGGTGGTGAAGCGTGCCCCTGGCAGACCACACAAACCACCAACAGCAGCACCAAGGCAACACGACAATCGGGAATCCCGCAAGTACTCTATGGAGTATGCAGTGGAATTCAGGTTGTATAAGGAGGTGAAGGCAAGAATGTGACAGTGTGTTAGGCCTAAACTCGCTCGATTTTTTGTCAATTCCTAGTGTTTCAAAGTGATTTTTTTCTTTTCTCGTTTCTCTTCGTTGCCATAAAAGACTGATCCTTTGAATTTGAAATTCTCCCAATCCTTTACAAATTTAATCACTTTCTTTCACCTCTGGTAGTTTCCAGAAACTGACCGTGGTTGGTCCCCTGGGGGAGGGAAAAAGACCCAAGTGCCATCAGTATGTGTGGCACGTGTTGTGAGCTGCCTTTGGAGCTAGTGAAAAACTTGTCAGCGCCTTCTGGGTTCAGCCTGGTCCCATAGCTCAGTGGTTAGAGCATTGCTCATGACAAGCAGGGTCCCAGGTTCGAGTCCTGGTGGGTCTGGCGTTTTTTCTCTTTTCAGGCAGTTCACTTCTGATCCTTTGAATTTTTTTTTGCGTGGTGATGTCTGCGGCATTCATGACTGATCCTTTGAATTTTTTTTGCGTGGTGATGTCTGCGGCATTCATACTTTTCATAGCTATTAATAATAATAATCAAACTCATGATGAAAACTACAACCCAATGAGTTGGAAAACCAACCACAGAATTAGATATTGGGAATAGAGTCAGACACAACAACAACCGAAATCAGTACACCAAAAATCTGTCCTACAAATGAATTATTATTATTATTATTATTATTAGATGACGACTACACCATAGCTCAGTGGTTAGAGCATCGCTGGCTACAAGCGAGGGTCCCTGGTTCGAGTCCTGGTGGTGACAGTCATGGCCAGAGGATCCCCCTGTGTAGTGCCCTCCAGAGACAAGACCACCTCACTATGCACAAACAACTTAGCTGCTCTGCGGTAGAAGTTGGTAACAGCGACAGAGGCAGCAGGGCATATGATGCGGATGTTGTGGAGCATCACTTGCCGGTTGAGTGCATTGAATGCGTTAGACGCATCGACGAGGAGAATTCCTTGACAGTCATCATTGCGGTAGAGGTCCGCCATGGCATGGATTGCGGATTCTGCACCTGCCTCCTGGCCAGCACACACTTGGAGAGCACCAGCACTTTCCCGGATGTCTTGCTTGATGACGGCAAGAATGGCCTTGGCGATAAAGCGTCAGGCTAAGAACTTCACCGATGCCAATGGGCCTCACCCCAGGGTTCTTATCCAAGGGTATTAATCGGCCAGCTACAAGAGCTGAAATACCATCTGGATCTACATACTCCGTGGCAAGACGGCGGGTGGTTGCGGCAACGGCTGCACACAGATCGGAAGAGGCACCGCCGAACGAGCAGCACATTCGTCGCCAGGCAGTCGAGTCGAGGCCGGACACACCAGCAGCACCAGTCAGACGGAGTGCTATGTTCTTGATGAAGCTGGCATCGATGCTGGCAAACTGCACTGCTTGAAGCTGCACAATTGGGCCCTGCAATAGCACATCTGCATCTGGGATGGGGCAGGCAGGTGGGTGCTTTTCCTTGAGCGCATCCA